GTCAAGGGGCTGTAAACCATCACCATCGTCACGTGACATCCGGTCACGAGGCTGTGTGCACAGGAGGTCGTGGGTTCGATCCCGACCCTGACGATGCCTGCTGCTGCTGTAGATTTGGAGTTTGCGTCTCTCTCTCTCTCATCATTATCACGGTGGCTAGGAGATGTTAACTACCTCGCGTGGTATACAGGAGGTCGTGGGTTCGATCCCGACCCTGACGATGCCTGCTGCTGCTGTAGATTTGGAGTCTGCATGTCTGTCTCTCTCATCATCATCACGGTGGCTATGAGATGTTAACTATCTCGCCTGGTATAGAGGAGGTCGTGGGTTCGATCCCGACCCTGACGATGCCTGCTGCTGCTGCTGTAGATTTGGAGTCTGCGTGTCTCTCTGTCTCTCATCATCATCACGGTGGCTAGGAGATGTTGACTACCTCGCCTGGTATACAGGAGGTCGTGGGTTCGATCCCGACCCTGACGATGCCTGCTGCTGCTGCTGCTGTATATTTGGAGTTTGCGTGTCTCTCTCTCATCATCATTATCACGGTGGCTAGGAGATTTTAACTACCTCGCGTGGTACACAGGAGGTCGTGGGTTCGATCCCGACCCTGACGATGCCTGCTGCTGCTGTAGATTTGGAGTCTGCGTGTCTCTCTCTCTCTCATCATCATCACGGTGGCTAGGAGATGTTAACTACCTCGCCTGGTCTACAGGAGGTCGTGGGTTCGATCCCGACCCTGACGATGCCTGCTGCTGCTGTAGATTTGGAGTCTGCGTCTCTCTCTCTCTCTCATCATCATCACGGTGGCTAGGAGATGTTGACTACCTCGCCTGGTATACAGGAGGTCGTGGGTTCGATCCCGACCCTGACGATGCCTGCTGCTGTTGTAGATTTGGAGTCTGCGTGTCTCTCTCTCATCATCATCATCACGGTGGCTAGGAGATGTTAACTACCTCGCGTGGTACACAGGAGGTCGTGGGTTCGATCCCGACCCTGACGATGCCTGCTGCTGCTGTATATTTGGAGTCTGCGTGTCTCTCTCTCTCTCTCATCATCATCATCACGGTGGCTAGGAGATGTTGACTACCTCGCCTGGTATACAGGAGGTCGTGGGTTCGATCCCGTCCCTGACGATGCCTGCTGCTGCTGTATATTTGGAGTCTGCGTCTCTCTCTCTCTCATCATTATCACGGTGGCTAGGAGATGTTAACTACCTCGCCTGGTATACAGGAGGTCGTGGGTTCGATCCCGACCCTGACGATGCCTGCTGCTGCTGTAGATTTGGAGTCTGCATGTCTGTCTCTCTCATCATCATCACGATGGCTATGAGATGTTAACTATCTCGCCTGGTACACAGGAGGTCGTGGGTTCGATCCCGACCCTGACGATGCCTGCTGCTGCTGTATATTTGGAGTCTGCGTGTCTCTCTCTCATCATCATCATCACCACGGTGGCTAGGAGATGTTGACTACCTCGCCTGGTATACAGGAGGTCGCGGGTTCGATCCCGACCCCGGGTTGCCGAACGAATGGCGTGACTTTAAAGGTAGCGACTCATAATAACACACACACACTCACACAGCGTGGCTTGCAAAACAAACGAACCACACACAATGACGACTCCTCGCTGCTGATCTCGTCAGAGAGACATCAATCATCACCACCACCACGCTAACTGCGGTCATCATCCGGAGAGCTATCAACTACCACGACGTCTTAAACTGAATTCTAAACTATCGGATTCCTCCTCCACTACAGAATAAAGATTCTCATTCTGAATGTCTGTGACTGTCTGACCGCGTGCCTCTCTAGCTGGCCGTCGTGCGGCAAAGAGCTTCATAGCCCTTCGGATTTCTCCACTACAGAATAAAGATTCACATTCTGTCTGTGACTTTCTGACTGCGTGCCTCTAGCTGGACGTCTAGCGGCAAAGAGCTTCATAGCTCTTCAGATTTCTCCACTACAGAATAAAGCTTCACAATCTGACTGCCTGTGACTTTCTGACCGCGTGCCTCTTACTGGCCGTCTAGCGGCAAAGAGCTTCATAGCCCTTCGGATTTCTCCACTACAGAATAAATATTCACATTCTGAATGTCTGTGACTGTCTGACCCCGTGGCTCTCTAGCTGGACGTCTAGCGGCAAAGAGCTTCATAGCCCTTCAGATTCCTCCACTACAGAATAAATATTCACATTCTGACTGTGACTTTCTGACCGCGTGCCTCGAGCTGGACGTCTAGCGGCAAAGAGCTTCATAGCCCCTCGGATTCCTCCACTACAGAATAAATATTCACAATCTGACTGCCTGTGACTTTCTGACTGCGTGCCTCTTACTGGACGTCTAGCGGCAAAGAGCTTCATAGCCCTTCGGATTTCTCCACTACAGAATAAATATTCACATTCTGACTGTGACTTTCTGACTGCGTGCCTCTAGCTGGACGTCTAGCGGCAAAGAGCTTCATAGCCCTTCGGATTCCTCCACTACAGAATAAAGATTCACATTGTGACTTTCTGTGACTTTCTGACCGCGTGCCTCTTACTGGACGTCTAGCGGCAAAGAGCTTCATAGCCCTTCGGATTTCTCCACTACATAATAAAGATTCTCATTCTGACTGTGACTTTCTGACTGCGTGCATCTAGCTGGACGTCTAGGGGCAAAGAGCTTCATAGCCCTTCGGATTTCTCCACTACAGAATAAATATTCACATTGTGACTTTCTGACTGCGTGCCTCTAGCTGCACGTCTAGCGGCAAAGAGCTTCATAACCCTTCAGATTTCTCCACTACAGAATAAATATTCACATTCTGACTGTGACTTTCTGACCGCGTGGCTCTGTAGCTGGACGTCTAGCGGCAAAGAGCTTCATAGCTCTTCAGATTTCTCCACTACAGAATAAATATTCACAATCTGACTGCCTGTGACTTTCTGACCGCGTGGCTCTCAAGCTGGACGTCTAGCGGCAAAGAGCTTCATAGCTCTTCGGATTCCTCCACTACAGAATAAAGATTCACATTCTGACTGTGACTTTCTGACCGCGTGCCTCTAGCTGCATGTCTAGCGGCAAAGAGCTTCACAGCCCTTCGGATTTCTCCACTACAGAATAAAGATTCTCATTCTGACTGTGACTGTCTGACCCCGTGGCTCTCAAGCTGGACGTCTAGGGGCAAAGAGCTTCATAGCCCTTCGGATTTCTCCATTACAGAATAAATATTCACATTCTGACTGTGACTGTCTGACCCCGTGGCTCTCAAGCTGGACGTCTAGCGGCAAAGAGCTTCATAGCCCTTCGGATTTCTCCACTACAGAATAAATATTCACAATCTGAATGTCTGTGACTGTCTGACTGCATGCCTCTTACTGGCCGTCTAGCGGCAAAGAGCTTCATAGCCCTTCGGATTTCTCCACTACAGAATAAATATTCACAATCTGACTGCCTGTGACTGTCTGACCCCGTGGCTCTCTAGCTGGCTGTCTAGCGGCAAAGAGCTTCACAGCCCTTCGGATTTCTCCACTCCAGAATAAAGATTCACATTCTGACTGCCTGTGACTTTCTGACCGCGTGCCTCTAGCCGGCCGTCGTGCGGCAAAGAGCTTCATAGCCCTTCGGATTCCTCCACTACAGAATAAATATTCTCAATCTGACTGCCTGTGACTGTCTGACCGCGTGCCTCTAGCCGGCCGTCGTGCGGCAAAGAGCTTCATAGCCCTTCGGATTTCTCCAGTACAGAATAAATATTCACATTGTGACTTTCTGACTGCGTGCCTCTATCTGCACGTCTAGCGACAAAGAGCTTCATAGCTCTTCAGATTTCTCCACTACAGAATAAAGATTCACAATCTGACTGCCTGTGACTTTCTGACCGCGTGCCTCTTACTCGACGTCTAGCGGCAAAGAGCTTCATAGCCCTTCAGATTTCTCCACTACAGAATAAATATTCTCAATCTGACTGCCTGTGACTGTCTGACCGCGTGCCTCTAGCCGGCCGTCGTGCGGCAAAGAGCTTCATAGCCCTTCGGATTCCTCCACTACAGAATAAATATTCACATTCTGACTGCCTGTGACTGTCTGACCGCGTGCCTCTAGCCGGCAGTCGTGCGGCAAAGAGCTTCATAGCCCTTCGGATTCCTCCAGTACAGAATAAAGATTCACATTGTGACTTTCTGACTGCGTGCCTCTATCTGCACGTCTAGCGACAAAGAGCTTCATAGCTCTTCGGATTTCTCCACTACAGACTAAAGATTCACAATCTGACTGCCTGTGACTGTCTGACCGCGTGCCTCTAGCCGGCCGTCGTGCGGCAAAGAGCTTCATAGCCCTTCGGATTTCTCCAGTACAGAATAAAGATTCACATTGTGACTTTCTGACTGCGTGCCTCTAGCTGCACGTCTAGCGGCAAAGAGCTTCACAGCCCTTCGGATTCCTCCACTACAGAATAAATATTCACATTCTGACTGCCTGTGACTGTCTGACCGCGTGCCTCTAGCCGGCCGTCGTGCGGCAAAGAGCTTCATAGCCCTTCGGATTTCTCCAGTACAGAATAAAGATTCACATTGTGACTTTCTGACTGCGTGCCTCTAGCTGCACGTCTAGCGGCAAAGAGCTTCACAGCCCTTCGGATTCCTCCACTACAGAATAAATATTCACATTCTGACTGCCTGTGACTGTCTGACCGCGTGCCTCTAGCCGGCCGTCGTGCGGCAAAGAGCTTCATAGCCCTTCGGATTTCTCCAGTACAGAATAAAGATTCACATTGTGACTTTCTGACTGCGTGCCTCTAGCTGCACGTCTAGCGGCAAAGAGCTTCACAGCCCTTCGGATTCCTCCACTACAGAATAAATATTCACATTCTGACTGCCTGTGACTGTCTGACCGCGTGCCTCTAGCCGGCCGTCGTGCGGCAAAGAGCTTCATAGCCCTTCGGATTTCTCCCGTCCAGAAGAACAGTTCCTCATTCTGACCAACTACACCACCACACCCCACCACCACTCCCACCCCCCCACAGAAGAAGAAGAAGAAGGAGGAGTAGTAGAAGAGGTGGGGGCCCAGCAGCCCTCCACCCCGACCAAGCGCGGCGCGGTGGACGTACTGGCGGCAATGGGGGTCGCCTCTCTGCCCCCCGGGGTGGAGCGAGCGGCTGGGATGTGTGAGGCGCGGCGCGGGTCCAGCCTCGCCGACTCGGCGTTCCGCCTCTCGCGAGACGCGCAGCTCAGCGCCCCCACGCGGCAGCTGTTTCCCGGTACGCGGACCTGCGCGCACGCACCACGTGGACACGCAGACACGCCACGCGGACGCGTCACGTGTGCACGCAGACGCGTCACGTGTGCACGAAGACGCGCCACGTGCGCATGCCACGTGCGAACGCAGACGCGTCACGTGTGCACGTCACGTGTGCACGAAGACGCGTCACGTGCGCATGCCACGTGCGAACGCAGACGCGCCACGTGTGCACGTCACGTGTGCACGTCACGTGTGCACGCAGACGCGCCACGTGTGAACGCAGACGCGCCACGTGTGCACACAGACACGCCACGTGGACACGTCACGTGTGCACGCAGACGCGCCACGTGTGCACGCAGACGCGTCACGTGTGCACTCAGACGCGCCACGTGTGCACGCAGACGCGTCACGTGTGCACTCAGACGCGCCACGTGTGCACGCAGACGCGCCACGTGTGCACGCAGACGCGCCACGTGGACACGTCACGTGTGCACGCAGACGCGTCACGTGTGCACTCAGACGCGCCACGTGTGCACGCAGACGCGCCACGTGTGCACGCAGACGCGCCACGTGGACACGTCACGTGTGCACGCAGACGCGTCACGTGTGAACGCACACGCGCCACGTGGACACGTCACGTGTGAACGCAGACGCGTCACGTGTGCACGCAGACGCGTCACGCGTGCACGCAGACGCGTCACGTGTGCACGCAGACGAGCCACGTGGACATGCCACGTGTGGTGTATACGGTGTCCGTGCGTGAGCGTTGTGTGCGCGTTTGGTTTGTGTGTGGCCTGTATGTGGTGTGTGTGGCGTGTGTGTGGTGTATGTGCATGGTGTGTGTGGCGTGTGTGGTTGTGTGTGTATGTGGCGTATGTGACGTGTGTGGTGTGTGTGGCGTGTGTGGTGTGTGTGTGGTGTGTGTGGTGCTGTGCATGGTGTGTGTGTATGTATGTGTGTGTATGGCGTGTGTGGTGTGTGTGTGTGTATGTGGCGTGTGTGTGTGGTGTGTGTGGCGTGTGTGTGGTGTGTGTGGCGTGTGTGTGGTGTGTGTGTACGTGTGTGTTTGTTGTTGTGTGTGTGTGTATGTCTACGTATAGCGCGTGCTTCCTTGGACGCACGCGACCCTGCGCGCGCATTCACCCACCACCACCACCCCCCCACCACCACCACCACCACCCCCCCACCACCACCCCCCCCACCACATTAGACGGCCGCTTCCCGCGGGACTTCTCCTTGCTGGCGACGGTCCGCGCCCGACCCGGCACGCAGGCCTTCCTGCTGGCCCTTTACGACCGCACGGGGGCCCAGCAGCTGGGCCTGGAGCTGGGCCGATCGCCACTCTTCGTCTACTCGGACCAGCACGGGCGGCCCGGGCCCGAAGGCTACCCCCTCTTCCGCGGGGTCAACCTGGCGGACGGACGGTAACACTACGTGGGGGTGCCGAGGGAGGAGGAGGAGGAGGAGGGGTGGAGGTGGTGGGGGACTAATACCCATCTGTTCCATCTGTGTGTCTCTCTCTCTTGTCTCTCTTTTATATCTCTCTTTTATATCTCTCTTATCTCTCTCTTGTCTCTCTCTTGTCTCTCTCTCTTATCTCTCTCTTGTCTCTCAATTGTCTCTCTCTTTTATATCTCTCTCTTGTCTCTCTCTTGTCTCTCTCTTGTCTCTCAATTGTCTCTCTCTTTTATATCTCACTTATCTCTCTCTTGTCTCTCAATTGTCTCTGTCTCGTCTCTTTTATATCTCACTTATCTCTCTCTTGTCTCTCTCTCTTATCTCTCTCTTGTCTCTCAATTGTCTCTCTTTTATATCTCACTTATCTCTCTCTTGTCTCTCAATTGTCTCTGTCTCGTCTCTTTTATATCTCACCTATCTCGCTCTTGTCTCTCTCTTATCTCTCTCTTGTCTCTCTCTTATCTCTCTTGTCTCTCTCTTGTCTCTCTCTTATCTCTCTTTTATATCTCACTTATCTCTCTTTTGTCTCTCTCTCTTATCTCTCTCTTGTCTCTCAATTGTCTCTCTTTTATATCTCACTTATCTCTCTTTTATATCTCACTTATCTCTCTCTTGTCTCTCTCCCCACTCTCACTTATCTCTCTCTCCCCACAAAGTGCGTGGACTAATCCCCATCTGTTCCATCTGTGTCTCTCTTGTCTCTCAATTGTCTCTCTTTTATATCTCACTTATCTCTCTCTTGTCTCTCTCTTATCTCTCTTTTATATCTCACTTATCTCTATTTTATATCTCACTTATCTCTCTTTTATATCTCACTTATCTCTCTCTTGTCTCTCTCTTATCTCTCTCTTGTCTCTCTTATCTCTCTTTTATATCTCACTTATCCCTCTTTTATATCTCACTTATCTCTCTCTTATCTCTCTCTTGTCTCTCTCTTATCTCTCTTGTCTCTCTCTTGTCTCTCTTATCTCTCTTTTATATCTCACTTATCTCTCTTTTGTCTCTCTCTCTTATCTCTCTCTTGTCTCTCTCTTATCTCTCTTTTATATCTCAGTTATCTCTCTTTTATATCTCACTTATCTCTCTTTTATATCTCACTTATCTCTCTCTTGTCTCTCTCCCCACCCTCACTTATCTCTCTCTCCCCACAAAGTGCGTGGACTAATACCCATCTGTTCCATTTGTCTCTCTCTCTCTTGTCTCTCAATTGTCTCTCTCTTGTCTCTTTTATATCTCACTTATCTCTCTCTTGTCTCTCTTATCTCTCTCTTGTCTCTCTCTCTTATCTCTCTCTTATCTCTATTTTATATCTCACTTATCTCTCTTATCTCTCACTTGTCTCTCTCTCATCTCTCACTTATATCTCAATTATCTCTCTCATATCTCTCTTGTCTCTCACTTATCTCTCACTTATCTCTCACTTATATCTCACGTATCTCTCTTATCTCTCACTTATCTCTCTCTTATCTCTCAATTATCTCTCTTATCTCTCCTTTATCTCTCTCTTATCTCTCTTATCTCTCAATTATCTCTCCCCTATCTCTCACTTATCTCTCACTTATCTATCTTATCTCTCTTTTATCTCTCACTTATCTCTCAATTATCTCTCTTATCTCTCTCCACTCTCACTTATCTCTCTCTTATCTCTCTCCACTCTCACTTATCTCTCTCTTATCTCTCTCCACTCTCTCTTATCTCTCTCCACTCTCACTTATCTCTCTCTTATCTCTCTCCACTCTTTCCACTCTCTCTTATCTCTCTCTGATCTCTCTCCACTCTCACTTATCTCTCTCTCTTGTCTCTCTCCCCACTCTCACTTATCTCTCTCTCCCCACAAAGTGCGTGGACTAATCCCCATCTGTTCCATCTCGCTCCGCCTTCTACTGCCCGTGGGTGGGCGTCGAGTTGGAGCCACGCCCCCTAGGCCCCGCCCCCTGCTAGAAGGCGGTGGCCCGGAGCGCGTGGACTAATCCCCATCTGTTCCATCTGTAAGGGGTCGAGTGACTCAACAATCCACGCTCCCCTTTCAGATTCTTCTTCTTTGCTCTCAACTCGTCCATCACACACTGGGGAAGGGGGCGGGGCTTGTGGGGTTGGGTGGGTGTGACGTCACAGAGAGGGTGAATCAGGTGGGTCGGTGGGTGGTGGTGGTGGTGGTGTGAAGGTGGAACCGTGTCGGGGTGAGTTGGTGGGTAGGGAAGTGAGTGGGTGGGTGGGTGAGTGGTTGAGTTAGTGGGTAGGTGAGTGGTTGAGTTAGTGGGTAGGTGAGTGGTTGAGTTAGTGGGTAGGTGAGTGGGTAGGAGAGTGGTTGAGTTAGTGGATGAGTGAGAGGGTAGGCAGGTGAGTGGTTGAGTGGATGAGTTAGTGGGTGAGTTAGTGGATGAGTGGGTCGGTAAGTGGTTGAGTTAGTGGATGAGTTAGTGGGTGGGTAGGTGAGTGGGTGGGTAGGTGAGTGGTTGAGTTAGTGTATGGGTAGGTGAGTGGGTAGGTGAGTGGGTGAGTTAGTGGATGAGTGAGTGGGTGAGTTAGTGGATGAGTGGTTGAGTTAGTGGATGAGTGAGTGGGTGGGTAGGTGAGTGGGTGATTGTCGGGGTAGGTGGGTGGGTACGTGAGTGGATAAGTGGGTAGGTGAGTGGGTAGATGAGTGGGTGAGTGGCGGGGTAGGTGAGTGGGTGAGTGGCGGGGTAGGTGGGTAGATGAGTGGGTGAGTGGCGGGGTAGGTGGGTGGGTAGGTGAGTGGGTGAGTGGCGGGGTAGGTGGGTGGGTGGCGGGGTAGGTGAGTGAGTAGGTGAGTAGGTAGGTGAGTGGGTAGATGAGTGGGTGAGTGGCGGGGTAGGTGAGTGGGTGATTGGCGGGGTAGGTGAGTGGGTGAGTGGCGGGGTAGGTGGGTGGGTGAATGGTTGAGTGGGGCGTAGGTGGGTGGGTAGGTGAGTGGATGAGTGGGTAGGTGAGTGGGTAGATGAGTGGGTGAGTGGCGGGGTAGGTGAGTGGGTGAGTGGCGGGGTAGGTGGGTTGGTAGGTGAGTGGGTGAGTGGCGGGGTAGGTGGGTGGGTGGGTGAGTGGGTGAGCGGCAGGGTAGGTGGGTAGGTAGGTGAGTGGGTGAGTGAGTGGGTGAGTGGCGGGGTAGGTGAGTGGGTAGGTGAGTGGGTGAGTGGCGGGGTAGTGGGTAGCTGAGTGGGTGAGTGGCGGGGTAGGTGAGTGGGTGAGTGGCTGGGTAGGTGGGTGGGTAGGTGAGTGGGTGAGTGGCTGGGTAGGTGAGTGGGTAGGTGAGTGGGTGAGTGGCTGGGTAGGTAGGTGGGTGGGTGAGTGGGTGAGTGGCGGGGTAGCTGAGTGGGTGAGTGGCGGGGTAGGTGGGTGGGTGAGTGGCGGGGTAGGTGGGTGGGTGGGTGAGTGGGTGAGTGGCGGGGTAGGTGAGTGGGTGAGTGGCGAGGTGGGTGGGTGAGTGGGTGAGTGGCTGGGTAGCTGAGTGGGTGAGTGGCGGGGTAGGTGGGTGGGTGAGTGAGTGAGTGGCGGGGTAGCTGAGTGGGTGAGTGGCGGGGTAGGTTGGTGGGTGGGTGAGTGAGTGGTGGGGTAGGTGGGTAGGTGGGTGGGTGAGTGGCTGGGTAGCTGGGTGGGTGAGTGGCGGGGTAGGTTGTTGGGTGGGTGAGTGGGTGAGTGGGTGAGTGGCGGGGTAGGTGGGTGGGTGGGTGAGTGAGTGAGTGGGTGAGTGGCTGTGTAGGTGGGTGAGTGGGTGAGTGGCTGTGTAGGTGGGTGGGTGGGTGAGTGGGTGAGTGGCGGGGTAGGTGGGTGAGTGGGTGAGTGGGTGAGTGGCGGGGTAGGTGGGTGAGTGGGTGAGTGGCTGTGTAGGTGGGTGAGTGGGTGAGTGGCGGGGTAGGTGGGTGAGTGTGTGAGTGGCGGGGTAGGTGGGTGAGTGTGTGAGTGGCTGTGTAGGTGGGTGTGTGTCTGTGTAGGTGGGTGTGTGTGTGTGAGTTAACGTCGGGTGGTGGCGGTGTGGTGCAGGTGGCACCGCGTTGCCGTGAGCGTGCGTGGCACCAAGGTGGCGCTGCTCGTGGACTGCCGTGAGCGTTGGGCCGGCGAGCTGGCCCGGAGCGACGCCGCCCGCATCGACACGCGCGGCGTCACCATCGTGGGCACGCGCATCTTGGACGACGAGCACTTCGAGGTGCGTGCGTGTGTGTGTGTACACGTGTGTATGTGTGTACACGTGTGTGTGTGTACACGTGTGTGTGTGTACACGTGTGTGTGTGTGTACACGTGTGTGTGTACACGTGTTTGTGTGTGTGTACACGTGTGTGTGTGTGTGTGTACACGTGTTTGTGCGTGTGTACACGTGTGTGAGTGTGTGTACACGTGTGTGTGTGTGTGTACACGTGTGCGTGTGTGTACACGTGTTTGTGTGTGCGTACACGTGTGTGTGTGTGTGTACACGTGTGTGTGTGTACACGTGTGTATGTGTGTGTGTGTACACGTGTGTGTGTGTGTACACGTGTTTGTGCGTGTGTACACGTGTGTGTACACGTGTGTATGTGTACACGTGTTTGTGTGTGTACACGTGTGTGTACACGTGTGTGAGTGTGTGTACACGTGTGTGTGTGTACATGTGTTTGTGTGTGTGTGTACAGGTGTGTGTGTGTGTGTACAGGTGCGTGCGTACACGTGTTTGTGTGTTTATGCGCGTGTGTGTGTAGACGTGTGTGTACAGGTGTGTGTGTGTGTACGTGTTTGTGCGTTTGTGTGTGTGTAAAGGTGCGTGCGTACACGTGTTTCTGTGTACATGCGCGTGTCTCGACGTGTGTGTACAGGTGTGTGTGTACGTGTTTGTGCGTGTGTGTGTGTACAGGTGTTTGTGTATACGTGCGTGTGTGTGTGTAGACGTGTGTGTGTGTGTGTAGACGTGTGTGTGTGTGTACAGGTGCGTGTGTGTGTACACGTGTTTATGTGTACAGGTGCGTGTGTGTACGTGCGCGTGTGTGTGTGTACAGGTGTGTGTGTGTGTGTGTACGTGTTTGTGTGTACACGTCTGTGTAGGTGCGTGCGCGTGTGTGTGTGTACAGGTGTGTGTGTGTGTAGACGTGTGTGTGTGTACAGGTGTGTGTGTACACGTGTGTGTGTACAGGTGTGTGTGTACAGGTGCGTGTGTGTACGTGCACGTGTGTGTGTGTACGTGTTTGTGTGTACACGTCTGTGTAGGTGCGTGCGCGCGTGTGTGTGTACAGGTGTGTGTGTGTGTGTAGACCTGTGTGTGTGTACAGGTGTGTGTGTACAGGTGCGTTTGTGTACGTGCACGTGTGTGTATACAGGTGCGTGTGTGTGTACACGTGTTTATGTGTACAGGTGTGTGTGTGTCGACGTGTGTGTACAGGTGTGTGTACGTGTGTGTGTACACGTGTGTGTGTACACGTGTGTGTGTGTGTGTAGACGTGTGTGTGTGTAGACGTGTGTGTACAGGTGTGTGTACGTGTGTGTGTGTAGACGTGTGTGTGTACACGTGTGTGTGTAGACGTGTGTGTGTGTACACGTGTTTATGTGTAGACGTGTGTGTGTGTACAGGTGCGTGTGTACACGTGTTTATGTGTACAGGTGCGTGTGTGTGTACACGTGTTTATGTGTACAGGTGTGTGTGTGTGTACACGTGTTTATGTGTACAGGTGTGTGTGTACACGTGTGTATGTGTACAGGTGTGTGTGTACACGTGTTTATGTGTACAGGTGTGTGTGTACACGTGTTTATGTGTACAGGTGCGTGTGCGTGTGTACACGTGTTTATGTGTACAGGTGTGTGTGTACACGTGTTTATGTGGACAGGTGTGTGTGCGTGTGCACACGTGTTTATGTGTACAGGTGTGTGTGTACACGTGTTTATGTGTACAGGTGTGTGTGCGTGTGCACACGTGTTTATGTGTACAGGTGTGTGTGTGTACACGTGTTTATGTGTACAGGTGCGTATGTGTGTACACGTGTTCATGTGTACAGGTGTGTCTGCGTACACGTGTTTCTGTGTACAGGTGTGTGTGTACACGTGTTTATGTGTACAGGTGTGTGTACACGTGTTTATGTGTACAGGTGTGTGTACACGTGTTTACGTGTACAGGTGTGTGTGTGTACACGTGTTTATGTGTACAGGTGTGTGTGTGTACACGTGTTTATGTGTACAGGTGTGTGTGTACACGTGTTTATGTGTACAGGTGTGTGTGTACACGTGTTTATGTGTACAGGTGTGTGTACACGTGTTTATGTGTACAGGTGTGTGTGTGTACACGTATTTATGTGTACAGGTGTGTGTGTACACGTGTTCATGTGTACAGGTGTGTGTGTGTGTACACGTGTGTGTGTGTACACGTGTTTATGTGTTCAGGTGTGTGTGTGTGTATACACGTGTTTGTGTACAGGTGTGTGTGTGTGTGTACACGTGTGTGTGTGTACACGTGTTTATGTGTACAGGTGTTTATGTGTACAGGTGTGTGCGTGTGTACACGTGTTTATGTGTACAGGTGTGTGTGTGTGTGTACAGGTGTGTGTGTGTGTACACGTGTTTATGTGTGTGTGTGTACACGTGTTTATGTGTGTGTGTACACGTGTTTATGTGTACAGGTGTGTGTGTACAGGTGTTTATGTGTACGTGTGTGTGTACAGGTGTTAATGCGTGTGTGTGTACACGTGTTTATGTGTGTTTATGTGTACAGGTGTGTGTGTACACGTGTTTATGTGTGTGTACACGTGTTTATGTGTGTGTACACGTGTTTATGTGTACACGTGTGTGTGTACACGTGTTTATGTGTACAAGTGTGTGTGTGTACACGTGTTTATGTGTGTGTACACGTGTTTATGTGTACGTTTGTGTGTGTATATACACGTGTGTGTGTGTACAGGTGTGTGTACACGTGTTTATGTGTACACGTGTGTGTGTACACGTGTTTATGTGTGTGTGAACACGTGTTTATGTGTGTGTGTACAGGTGTGTGTGTGTGTACACGTGTTTATGTGTACACGTGTGTGTGTGTACACGTGTTTATGTGTGTGTGTACACGTGTTTATGTGTGTGTGTACACGTGTTTATGTGTACACGTGTGTGTGTACACGTGTGTGTGTGTGTACACGTGTTTATGTGTACAGGTGTGTGTGTGTACACGTGTTTATGTGTGTGTGTGTACACGTGTTTATGTGTGTGTGTACACGTGTTTATGTGTACACGTGTGTGTGTACACGTGTGTGTGTGTGAACACGTGTTTATGTGTACACGTGTGTGTGTGTACACGTGTGTGTGTGTACACGTGTTTATGTGTACACGTGTGTGTGTGTACACGTGTGTGTGTGTACACGTGTTTATGTTTACACGTGTGTGTGTGTGAACACGTGTTTATGTGTACACGTGTGTGTGTGTACACGTGTGTGTGTGTACACGTTTATGTGTGTGTGTGTACACGTGTGTGTGTGTACACGTGTGTGTGTGTACACGTGTTTATGTTTACACGTGTGTGTGTGTGAACACGTGTTTATGTGTACACGTGTGTGTGTGTGTGCACGTGTGTGTGTGTACACGTGTTTATGTGTGTGTGTGTGTACACGTGTGTGTGTGTGTACACGTGTGTGTGTGTACACGTTTATGTGTGTGTACACGTGTTTATGTGTACACGTGTGTGTGTGTACACGTGTTTATGTGTACGTGTGTGTGTGTGAACACGTGTTTATGTGCACACGTGTGTGTGTGTACACGTGTGTGTGTGTACACGTGTTTATGTGTGTGTGTGTACACGTGTTTATGTGTACACGTGTTTATGTGTGTGTGTGTGTGTGTGTTTCGCGCAGGGAGAGGTGCAGCAACTGCTGCTCGTGCCGGACGCCGATGCGGCCCTGCAGCAGTGCAGCTCGTACAGCCCCGACTGCGACACAGCGCTGCCTCGTGACGCTGAGCTGGACACGCGGCCACAAGCACAAGAACCTGAGCAGGCGCGGGTCACCCACTCACACACTCACCCACCTGCACACTCACTCACTCACCCACTCACTCACTCACCCACTCACTCACTCACCCACTCAGTCACCCACCTGCTCACTCACCCACCTGCTCACCCACCCACCTGCTCACCCACTCACCCACCCACTCACTCACCCACCTGCACACTCACTCACTCACCCACTCACTCACTCACCCACTCACTCACTCACCCACTCAGTCACCCACCTGCTCACTCACCCACCTGCTCACCCACCCACCTGCTCACCCACTCACCCACCCACTCACTCACCCACCCAATCACCACTCGTACAGCCCCGACTGCGACACAGCGCTGCCTCGTGACGCTGAGCTGGACACGCGGCCACAAGCACAAGAACCTGAGCAGGCGCGGGTCACCCACTCACACACTCACCCGCCTGCACACCCACTCGCTCACCCACTCACTCACTCACCCACTCACTCACTCACCCACTCAGTCACCCACCTGCTCACTCACCCACCTGCTCACCCACCCACCTGCTCACCCACTCACCCACCCACTCACTCACCCACCCAATCACCGCTCGTACAGCCCCGACTGCGACACAGCGCTGCCTCGTGACGCTGAGCTGGACACGCGGCCACAAGCACAGGAGCCTGAGCAGGCGCGGGTCACCCACTCACTCACTCACCCACTCACTCACCCACTCACTCACCCACTCACTCACTCACCGACTCACTCACACACCTCCTCACCTACTCACTCACTCACCCACTCACTCACTCACCCGCTCACTCACTCACCCACTCAGTCACACACCCACTCACCCACCCACTCACTCACTCACCCACCCACCCACTCACCCACCCACTCAGTCACCCGCCCACTCACCCACTCACTCACTCACTCACCCACTCACTCGCTCACTCACTCGCTCGCTCACCCAATCACTCACCAACTCACTCACTCACCCACTCACTCACCCACTCACTCACTCACTCACCCACCTGCTCACCCACTCACTCACTCACTCACCCACTCACTCACTCACCCACTCACTCGCTCACTCACTCGCTCGCTCACCCAATCACTCACCAACTCACTCACTCACCCACTCACTCACCCACCCACCCACTCACTTACTCACTCACCCACTCACTCACCCACCCACTCACTCACTCACCCACCTGCTCACCCACTCACTCACCCACTCACCCACTCACACACTCACCCACTCACTCACCCACTCGCTCACCCACTCTCTCACCCACTCACCCACCCGCCCATTCACCCACTCACCCACTCACTCACTCACCCACTCACCCACTCACTCACTCACTCACCCACCTGCTCACCCACTCACCCACCCACTCACTCACCCACCCAATCACCGCTCGTACAGCCCCGACTGTGACACAGCGCTGCCTCGTGACGCTGAGCTGGACACGCGGCCACAAGCACAGGAGCCTGAGCAGGCGCGGGTCACCCACTCACTCACTCACTCACCCACTCGCTCACCCACTCACTCACTCACCCACCTGCTCACTCACCCACCCACTCACTCACCCACTCACTCACCCACCCACTCACTCACCCACTCACCCAATCACCCACTCGCTCACTCACTCACCCACTCACTCACTCACCCACCTGCTCACCCACTCACCCACCCACTCACTCACCCACCCAATCACTCACTCACCCACCCACTCACCCACCCAATCACTCACTCACCCAATCACTCACCCACCCACTCACTCACCCACCTGCTCACTCACCCACTCACTCACCCACTCACCCACTTACCCAATCACCCACTCACTCACCCACCCGCTCAGTCACTCACTCACTCGCTCACTCACTCACCCATCCACTCACTCACCCACCCACCTGCTCACCCACTCACTCACCCACTCACTCACCCACCCAATCACCGCTCGTACAGCCCCGACTGCGACACAGCGCTGCCTCGTGACGCTGAGCTGGACACGCGGCCACAAGCACAGGAGCCTGAGCAGGCGCGGGTCACCCACTCACACACTCACCCACTCGCTCACCCACTCACTCACCCACCTGCTCACCCACTCGCGCGCTCGCTCACCCACTCACTCACCCGCCCACTCACTCACTCACTCACCCACCCAATCACTCAATCACTCACCCACTCACTCACTCACCCGCCCACTCAATCACTCACCCACCTGCTCACCCAATCACCCACCCACTCACTCACCCACCCACTCACTCGCCCACCCACTCACTCACCCACCTACCCGCTCGCTCGCCCGCCCACTCGCTCACTCACCCACCCACTCACTCACCCACTCACTCACCCGCCCACTCACCCACTCACTCACCCACCCGCTCGCTCGCCCGCCCACTCGCTCACTCGCCCACCCACCCACTCACACACCCACCCACTCACACACTCATCCACCCACTCACTCACCCACTCACTCACCCACCCAATCACTCAATCACTCACCCACTCACTCACTCACTCACCCGCCCACTCAATCACTCACCCACCTGCTCACTCACTCACTCACTCGCCCACCCACTCACTCACCCACCCAATCACTCAATCACTCACCCACCCACTCACTCACCCACTCACTCACTCACTCACCCACCTACTCACTCACCCACTCACCCACCCACTCCCCCACTCACTCACTCACCCACTCACTCACTCACCCCCTCACCCACTCACCCACCCACTCACCCACTCACCCTCACCCCCTCACCCACTCACCCCACTCATCCCACTCACCCCTCACCCAACTCACCCACTCACTCACTCACCCACCCACTCACTCACTCACCCACCCACGCACTCACTCGCTCACTCACTCGCCCAATCACTCACCCACCCACTCACCTGCCCACTCACTGACTCACCCACCTGCTCACCCACTCACCCACCCACTCACTCACCCACCCACTCACTCACCCACCCACCCACTCACTCACTCACTCACCCACCCAATCACAAAATCACTCACCCACTCACTCACTCACCCGCCCACTCACTCACTCGCTCACTCACTCGCCCAATCACTCACCCACCCACTCACTCACTCACTCACCCACCTGCTCACTCACCCACCTGCTCACCCACTCACCCACCCACTCACTCACCCACCCAATCACTCACCCACCCACTCACTCGCTTGCTCACCCACTCAATCATTCACTCACTCACTCACACACCCACTCACTGATGAATTCACTCACTCACTCACCCGTCATCCACCAATCCACTCACTCATTAATTTACCCACTCACCCACCAAACCACGAACTCATTCACCCACCCACTCACCTGCTCACTCACTCACCCACCTACTCATTAATTTACCCACTCACTCACCCACCAACCCACCAACTCACTCACTCCATCATTCTCTCACTCACTCATTTACCCACTGACTCACCCACCAACCCACCAACTCACTCAATCGTTCACTCACTCACCCACCCACTCACTCACCCACCCACCCACTCACCTATTAACTCATGTACTCCCTCATTCATTCACCCACTCACTTATCCACTCACTCATTAATTTACAAACTCACCTACCAACCAACCCACTCGCTCATTCACCCACCCACGCATCTACTCACCCACTCAGTCACCCACTCACTCATCGACCGACTCACCCACTCACTCACCACCTCACCCACCCACTCACTAACTCACCCACCAACTCACCCACCCACTCACCAACTCACCCACCAACTCACCCACCCACTCACCAACTCACCCACCCACTCACCCACCCACTCACCAACTCACCCACCAACTCACCAACTCACCCACCCACTCACCCCCCCACCCACCCAACCACCTACCGAGTGTATCCAGCAGGGGGCGACCTGACAAAAAAGAGTGGTAGTGCTGACCCCCGCACTCCAACCCCCGTCCCCTGACCCCCGCACTCCGACCCCCGTCCCCTGACCCCCGCACTCCGACCCCCGTCCCCTGACCCCCGCACTCCGACCCCGTCCCCTGACCCCAGCACTCCGACCCCTGTCCCCTGACCCCCGCACTCCGACCCCCCCGCACTCCGACCCCTGCGACCTGACTCCCACGTGCCCCCTTTGCACTTTGACCCCTGACCTCTAACCCCTCGCACAGCAGCTGCCGGAGGGGGGCGACTTGTACAACTACGATGACTACTACCCTGGCGGAGAGGAGGACACGGACGGAGGAGCCCCCCCAACGCCAGAGACCCCCACCGACGAGGTAACGCGGACACGCGGACACGCGGACACGTCTCCCTACTGTCTCCCTACTGTCTCCCTACTGTCTCCCTACTGTCTCCCTACTGTCTCCCTACTGTCTCCCTACTGTCTCCCTACTGTCTCCCTACTGTCTCCCTACTGTCTCCCTACTGTCTCCCTACTGTCTCTCGTGACTCTCTCCCTACTGTCTCCCTACTGTCTCCCTACTGTCTCCCGTGACTCTCTCCCTACTGTCTCCCTACTGTCTCCCTACTGTCTCCCTACTGTCTCCCTACTGTCTCCCTACTGTCTCTCGTGACTCTCTCCCTACTGTCTCCCTACTGTCTCCCTACTGTCTCCCTACTGTCTCCCTACTGTCTCCCTACTGTCTCCCTACTGTCTCCCGTGACTCTCTCCCTACTGTCTCCCTACTGTCTCCCGTGACTCCCTACTGTCTCCCTACTGTCTCCCTACTGTCTCCCTACTGTCTCCCGTGACTCTCTCCCTACTGTCTCCCGTGACTCTCTCCCTACTGTCTCCCGTGACTCTCTCCCTACTGTCTCCCGTGACTCTCTCCCTACTGTCTCCCTACTGTCTCCCTACTGTCTCCCGTGACTCTCTCCCTACTGTCTCCCTACTGTCTCCCTACTGTCTCCCGTGACTCTCTCCCTACTGTCTCCCTACTGTCTCCCTACTGTCTCCCTACTGTCTCCCTACTGTCTCCCGTGACTCTCTCCCTACTGTCTCCCGTGACTCTCTCCCTACTGTCTCCCTACTGTCTCCCTACTGTCTCCCTACTGTCTCTCGTGACTCTCTCCCTACTGTCTCCCTACTGTCTCCCTACTGTCTCCCTACTGTCTCCCTACTGTCTCCCTACTGTCTCCCTACTGTCTCCCTACTGTCTCCCTACTGTCTCCCTACTGTCTCCCGTGACTCTCTCCCTACTGTCTCCCTACTGTCTCCCGTGACTCCCCTACTGTCTCCCTACTGTCTCCCTACTGTCTCCCTACTGTCTCCCGTGACTCTCTCCCTACTGTCTCCCGTGACTCTCTCCCTACTGTCTCCCGTGACTCTCTCCCTACTGTCTCCCTACTGTCTCCCTACTGTCTCCCTACTGTCTCCCGTGACTCTCTCCCTACTGTCTCCCTACTGTCTCCCTACTGTCTCCCGTGACTCTCTCCCTACTGTCTCCTACTGTCTCCCTACTGTCTCCCTACTGTCTCCCTACTGTCTCCCTACTGTCTCCCGTGACTCTCTCCCTACTGTCTCCCGTGACTCTCTCCCTACTGTCTCCCTACTGTCTCCCTACTGTCTCCCTACTGTCTCCCTACTGTCTCCCTACTGTCTCCCGTGACTCTCTCCCTACTGTCTCCCTACTGTCTCCTACTGTCTCCCTACTGTCTCCCGGTGACTCTCCCTACTGTCTCCCTACTGTCTCCCTACTGTCTCCCTACTGTCTCCCGTGACTCCCTACTGTCTCCCTACTGTCTCCCTACTGTCTCCCTACTGTCTCCCTACTGTCTCCCTACTGTCTCCCTACTGTCTCCAGTGACTCTCTCCCTACTGTCTCCCTACTGTCTCCCTACTGTCTCCCTACTGTCTCCCGTGACTCTCTCCCTACTGTCTCCCTACTGTCTCCCTACTGTCTCCCTACTGTCTCCCGACTGTCTCCCTACTGTCTCCCTACTGTCTCCCTACTGTCTCCCTACTGTCTCCCTGACTCTCTCCCTACTGTCTCCCGTGACTCTCTCCCTACTGTCTCCCTACTGTCTCCCTACTGTCTCCCGTGACTCTCCCTACTGTCTCCCTACTGTCTCCCTACTGTCTCCCTACTGTCTCCCGTGACTCTCTCCCTACTGTCTCCCGTGACTCTCTCCCTACTGTCTCCCGTGACTCTCTCCCTACTGTCTCCCTACTGTCTCCCTACTGTCTCCCTACTGTCTCCCGTGACTCTCTCCCTACTGTCTCCCGTGACTCTCTCCCTACTGTCTCCCTACTGTCTCCCTACTGTATACCTACTGTCCCGTGACTCTCTCCCTACTGTCTCCCTACTGTCTCCGTGACTCCTACTGTCTCCCTACTGTCTCCCTACTGTCTCCCGTGACTTCTCTCCCTACTGTCTCCCTACTGTCTCCCTACTGTCTCCCTACTGTCTCCCTACTGTCTTCCTACTGTCTCCCGTGACTCTCCCTACTCTCTCCCTACTGTCTCCCTACTGTCTCCCGTGACCTCTCTCCCTACTGTCTCCCGTGACTCTCTCCCTACTGTCTCCCTACTGTCTCCCGTGACTCTCCCTACTGTCTCCCTACTGTCTCCCTACTCTCTCCCTACTGTCTCCCTACTGTCTCCCGTGACTCTCTCCCTACTGTCTCCCGTGACTCTCTCCCTACTGTCTCCCTACTGTCTCCCTACTGTCTCCCTACTGTCTCCCTACTCTCTCCCTACTGTCTCCCTACTGTCTCCCTACTGTCTCCCTACTCTCTCCCTACTGTCTCCCTACTGTCTCCCTACTCTCTCCCTACTGTCTCCCTACTGTCTCCCTACTGTCTCCCTACTGTCTCCCGTGACTCTCTCCCTACTGTGTCCCGTGACTCTCTCCCTACTGTCTCCCTACTGTCTCCCGTGACTCTCCCTACTGTCTCCCTACTGTCTCCCTACTGTCTCCCTACTGTCTCCCTACTGTCTCCCTACTGTCTCCCTACTGTCTCCCTCTCCCTACTGTCTCCTACTGTCTCCCTACTGTCTCCCTACTGTCTCCCTACTGTCTCCCTACTGTCTCCCGTGACTCTCTCCCTACTGTCTCCCTACTGTCTCCCTACTGTCTCCCTACTGTCTCCCTACTGTCTCCCGTGACCTCTCTCCCTACTGTCTCCCTACTGTCTCCCTACTGTCTCCCTACTGTCTCCCGTGACTCTCTCCCTACTGTCTCCCTACTGTCTCCCTACTGTCTCCCGTGACTCTCTCCCTACTGTCTCCCTACTGTCTCCCTACTGTCTCCCCTACTGTCTCCCGTGACTCTCTCCCTACTGTGTCCCGTGACTCTCTCCCTACTGTCTCCCTACTGTCTCCCGTGACTCTCCCTACTGTCTCCCTACTGTCTCCCTACTCTCTCCCTACTGTCTCCCTACTGTCTCCCTACTGTCTCCCTACTGTCTCCCGTGACTCTCTCCCTACTGTCTCCCTACTGTCTCCCTACTGTCTCCCTACTGTCTCCCGTGACTCTCTCCCTACTGTCTCCCTACTGTCTCCCTACTGTCTCCCTACTGTCTCCCGTGACTCTCTCCCTACTGTCTCCCTACTGTCTCCCTACTGTCTCCCGTGACTCTCTCCCTACTGTCTCCCGTGACTCTCTCCCTACTGTCTCCCTACTGTCTCCCTACTGGTCTCCCTACTGTCTCCCGTGACTCTCCTCTCCCTACTGTCTCCCTACTGTCTCCCTACTGTCTCCCGTGACTCTCTCCCTACTGTCTCCCGTGACTCGTCATCCCTACTGTCTCCCTACTGTCTCCCTACTGTCTCCCGTGACTCTCTCCCTACTGTCTCCCTACGTCTCCCTACTGTCTCCCTACTGTCTCCCTACTGTCTCCCTACTGTCTCCCTACTGTCTCCTACTGTCTCCATTACTGTCTCCCTACTGTCTCCCGTGACTCTCTCCCTACTGTCTCCCGTGACTCTCTCCCTACTGTCTCCCCTGATACTGTCTCCCTACTGTCTCCCTACTGTCTCCACTGTGGACTCTCCCTACTGTCTCCCTACTGTCTCCCTGACTCTCTCCCTACTGTCTCCCTACTGTCTCCTACTGTCTCCCTACTGTCTCCCGTGACTCTCTCCCTACTGTCTCCCGTGACTCTCTCCCTACTGTCTCCCTACTGTCTCCCTACTGTCTCCCGTGACTCTCTCCCTACTGTCTCCCTACTGTCTCCCGTGACTCCCTACTGTCTCCCTACTGTCTCCCTACTGTCTCCCGTGACTCTCTCCCTACTGTCTCCCTACTGTCTCCCTACTGTCTCCTACTGTCTCCCTACTGTCTCCCTACTGTCTCCCTACTGTCTTCCCTACTGTCTCCCGTGACTCTCCCTACTCTCTCCCTACTGTCTCCCTACTGTCTCCCGTGACTCTCTCCCTACTGTGTCCCGTGACTCTCTCCCTACTGTCTCCCTACTGTCTCCCGTGACTCTCCCTACTGTCTCCCTACTGTCTCCCTACTCTCTCCCTACTGTCTCCCTACTGTCTCCCGTGACTCTCTCCCTACTGTCTCCCGTGACTCTCTCCCTACTGTCTCCCTACTGTCTCCCTACTGTCTCCCTACTGTCTCCCTACTCTCTCCCTACTGTCTCCCTACTGTCTCCCTACTGTCTCCCTACTCTCTCCCTACTGTCTCCCTACTGTCTCCCTACTCTCTCCCTACTGTCTCCCTACTGTCTCCCTACTGTCTCCCTACTGTCTCCCGTGACTCTCTCCCTACTGTGTCCCGTGACTCTCTCCCTACTGTCTCCCTACTGTCTCCCGTGACTCTCCCTACTGTCTCCCTACTGTCTCCCTACTCTCTCCCTACTGTCTCCCTACTGTCTCCCTACTGTCTCCCTACTGTCTCCCGTGACTCTCTCCCTACTGTCTCCCTACTGTCTCCCTACTGTCTCCCTACTGTCTCCCTACTGTCTCCCTACTGTCTCCCGTGACTCTCTCCCTACTGTCTCCCTACTGTCTCCCTACTGTCTCCCTACTGTCTCCCTACTGTCTCCCGTGACTCTCTCCCTACTGTCTCCCTACTGTCTCCCTACTGTCTCCCGTGACTCTCTCCCTACTGTCTCCCTACTGTCTCCCTACTGTCTCCCGTGACTCTCTCCCTACTGTCTCCCTACTGTCTCCCTACTGTCTCCCTACTGTCTCCCTACTGTCTCCCGTGACTCTCTCCCTACTGTGTCCCGTGACTCTCTCCCTACTGTCTCCCTACTGTCTCCCGTGACTCTCCCTACTGTCTCCCTACTGTCTCCCTACTCTCTCCCTACTGTCTCCCTACTG